TTCCAAATTGTCTTATTGCTTACCATTCCTCATATCTTCTCTTCCTCTCCTGCTTCAGCTCCAAGTCAATTGCACCGCTCCTGTGGTATTCGTGGTGAATTTGCCTTCATTTTTGATCGCCGCTTCGTGACACCGCATCCTGTTCACCGCAAAATGTAAATGCTCTCTACCGCCCCTTACTATGCAACTTGGAGAAATGAGTGATATGCTTTCATTTTCCTAGATGTTAGTAAACAAACCAATAAATCGATGGAAGGTCCCAGCGAGAAGTCGCAAAAAGCAGCCTGTATTTTGCGCCGTGCCTCATTTATAGCGTCGGTTCACAAACGAAAGAGTCTATAAGCCACATACTTACTAACTAACAAATTTGCAGAGTTTGAATTTTATTTATATATAGATATTAACTTAACGACTATGCCGCGACTATGTTGATGATGCAAACATACAGTCGAGCAAACGTGGTGCAAGAGTCGAGTTGCTGCGTGGGGTTTCTGAAGGGAAGGCGACTCTGTGAATTACGAGGTAGTGGTGAAGGCAAATGTATATATTGGGTGTCCGAAAGTTTGTGCCGTTTTTCAGAAAGATGTTCAAACCGCTTATAATTATGATAGACAAACGCTTTAAAGAGTGTTCATTGCAGGATTTCTTCCTCTCTCTAACGATTATGTTCTTGTTCAGATTCCTTCGATGTCCGCTCGAATTATCGCCAAAATCTCCAACCCATGGTTTTTACCCATCTTGAGTTTCGCTATTCTTAAATATTATTTGTAACAACGGGACGAGTGGCGTAGTGGTGTGAGGCGCCGCTATGACCAGATCGAATACAGGTTCGATCCTCCCCGTTGAGCCAACCAAGTTCTCTACCCTTCGGGGCCGGTAAATTGGTACCAGAGTAATCTGGGAGGATAAAAGCACTGACTTGGTAAACGGCTGGCCTCCGTAAGTCACTGTAATAGGCTCGCACGCATATACAATTGCCTCTTCGACTATGAATAGTGTGCGTTCGGCGCATGCCCGCAAAGGGTATTGAAGACGCCGAATTCTTTAATCTTTTATCCTTTATCCTTTAGGTTGTAACAGAATTAATGCAGGTTTTCCTAATTTTGAGTTTGGATTACTATAACTTTTTACAGAAGTAGCCAATCCGTTTCCGATAAAAATTACTGCAATCAGCAATCCTTTGGCAATTCAACACGCACTACCTTATTGTTGTAGCTTTACTGAGAGAAATTTCATAGCCTGAAGACTGGCAAAAGTTTTCTTGAAAAACCTTCAGTCTGAGAGACCGTAACTCACTATGCAATGTAGTAGAATGGTACAGACTTCATTCACTGTGCAGATATTAATCGGTTGTGCAGCGCCGTTAAAGTTGATTTTCACGAAAGAAATTCTGCTAGAAAATATTGCGAAAAATTTGTAATCACTTATTCTTCACAATGCTCTCAAAAGACGAAAAGGTCCTTTTTTTATTGTTTTTTTGAAATCTCTCGCTGCCAAAGAGAACAACGGCTCCCGGTTTTTTGCTATCATATATCCTATGTCTATTCTTTTTGCGTACGGCGAAAGCTCTGCAATTGCTTCGCATTTAGGATTTTTATACGCCGCAGAATGATAGCAGCGGCTGTTTGCTTTTGAAACAAATTTTCTCAATTTGGAAATTTTGAAAAAATTTGCTTTAAGGTGCATTTTGTAGCACAGATCGCATGCAAACATTATGCCAGTTTGCAAAAAATTCCGATCTTTCGCGATGGATTTAGTGCAAAGAGTGTAAAAGGAAGAAATTTCAAGGTTTAGTCCCTTGATTCCAAAAGCACGTAATTTCGAAATGAACCCAGTTCTCCTGAAACAAAAGCGTGCCTAAGAAACTAAAAGAAGAGTGCTTTCAGAAAGTATGCACAGATCCCTAAGACAATGGAATTTTGTTCTGAACCAACACTTTAAAAGAGGTGTGAAAAACCTGCATTAATTCTGTTACAACCTAATAATTCCATTTTCAACTCTCGGACTATCTTCAATAACGTTTGATGGAATAAACAAAATGCTATACAATAAACTATTTTGGCCTTCTTAACTAGCTTTTCAGCAGTTTTTGAAGTAATAAAAGCCCTTATTTTTGCGAAGTCGTGAAATACATGACTTCTTCATGCAATGTTCCTCGGAATTTGAACCTTTCAAAAGGAATTCATATACTTAACGTTAATTTTAGCAAGCAACTGAGCGTTTAGCGTTTAGGTTGGAAATATCGGATTCCGAATTCCGTGGTTTCAGCCTTGGACGAGTTTGGAAATATGAATTACTAGCTGGCTTACCCGGCTCCGCCGTATGTTCCGAATAGAAATAACCGATCCGGACCAAACTTGGCACACATACCCTTCGGGCCCCGGCGGGTGTCACAGTCCACTTTTCGTTATCGATCGATGTCGATTTTATCGATTTTTTGCAAAATTTGAGCTACGGGGCTGGGATTTGGCACAGGGGGGTAATCGAGCATGCTAGTCACCCCCCTGGGGGTGATCAGCATGCTCGATTACACCCCTCTGCCAAATTCCAGCCCCCTAGCTCAAATTTTGCAAAAAATCGATAAAATCGATAAAAGTAATGCACGATTTTAAAAACTAATATTGTATTCGAAATCCCCATGCTCACTTACCCCCCTGTGCCAACTCCCAGCCCCGTAGCTCAAATTTTGCAAAAATCGATAAAATCGATATCGTTCGATACGAAAAGTAGCCTATGACACCCGCCGGGGCCCAAAGTGTATGTGTGCCAAGTTTGGTCCCGATCGGTTCAGAAATGGAATTTTCTATTCGGAACATACGTACACACAGACAGACATACATACAGACAGACAGACAGACAGACAGACATACAAACAGACATTCAGCTTTATATATAAGATAACGATTTCAAATATTATGAAAGTCAGAAGGAAAAGAAGTTTATTCGAAAGATGAAAAAAAGCTGCATATAATGACACCCTGGTTGCTCTCCATTCATTCTTCTGGGAGCATTGGGATGGCCCAATATGGAATTTGATAGCAGCAGAAGAATAATTTCAAAAATTTTGAGAAGCCAGCTAGAGATGCCAAATGAATGTGTTGAATTGCATTTTGTTTTTTCTGTCCAGCTGTTATCAAAGCTAGAGTAAAAGCTGAAACAAACTCAGGGTGGGTAAATACCATGGGTTGGAGATTCTGCTGATAACTAAGCAGGAATCTGAACAAAAACATGACCTTTGCAAAGAAGAAGAAAGTTTGCATCGAGCGCCGTTTAGAGCGTTTGTCTATCAATATTTTGTGTGGGTTGCGTATGGGTCTTGAAAAACGGCACCAACTTTCGGACCCACCTAGTAGAATACAATCGACAAGTTTAAAAAACAAATACAAATCAACAGTACAAGCAGGACCATGTTTGATTGAGAAAAGCTAATGATAAGCCATCAAAAACATGAGCCTGTGAGAAAACCCCGAGCCGTGATCGCTGTGAGTCATCTCAGTTTCCTGGAACGCAAACCACTATACGAACAGGGGAATCTCGTATAAAATGACTGACTGATGGCTTCAACAAGTCAGCCTTTACCTGTCAATCCAAAAACAGAAGCTCTATCATCATGGAAGCATGTATGTATGGTGATTAAGATGTAAAATGTGCCAACTGGTCTAGAAGTCCTGCTTCCGAAGCCCAATAAAGTCTTACACACTAAATGCGCACCCTACCAGCTTTCGCAATGTTTTTTATACAACTCTACAATTCAGCCGTACTTTAGAAATACTCTACTATACCTGTGCAAAGTTTGGTGTCGTTTCATAGCCTGCCGTTTTCGTTACAATTTTATGTATGGCAACAAAAAATGAAAAAAAGGGGGGGGGGGTCAGATCTGGGTCGCATTCAAATATTTTCGGAGCTATGAAAGCCTGTTCGCTGCAGTTTTGCTGTATTACGACACCATCCTACTGTTTTCTATCCTGAGATTTGAGTCGTTTTACTGCGCCTCCAGTGTGTTACAAAATGAGCTTAAAAATCTTTTTCTAGGATCGCATCCAATTTGCTAGAGTCGCATCTAATTTTTCACTTCTCTCGGATGGCTGCAGCTTTCTACTTCACTTCCTAGCGCTCTACTACATAACCGGTTCATTGCAACCTCTTAGCCTTTCCCTGACCTTAGTTACAGATTTCCAAATACCATGCTCATGCACGTTTTTGAAACGGTTCGGGAAGGCGGTGAAATAATTTTATTCGCAGCAAAATTTATGCGAAAATTAGTAAATGAGTTTTTTATCCCAAACATTTTTTTACACTCAAAAAATGTCACTTTTCTACCCGCAAAAAATTGTGTCGCAGAGGGGATAGAATTAAGACTATCGTCTAGAGCGTTCTTATTTCTAAGAACCCGCGAAATGGGGGACGGGGGTGACGTGAGGGGAGGGGGTCGCATGGATGGAGAATCTTTAAGGGGAGAAGGGGTTGCAAGAGGAGGTCCCAGATAGCATCAAAACGCTTGATTCTGGTTCCGAATAGGTAGCATCACGTCAAAAATGCCTTTTTTCATGATAAAAGGCGGATTAGCACCATTTCTATTTACACTAAAGCTCAAATCAGACACATCCCAGACAACACACATCGATGAGTGAGGGGACTCGGCGGGTATTTTTTGAAGCGATTTTCTTGCTCCGAAATTCACCTTTTGCGGTGGGACCAGTTTGGGTGAATAGTCAGTTAGGGAGCTCGTTATTGCAACGCAATGAAATCCTTCCGTCCTAGTACTGAACGGGCGGTGCATTCTCAGACAGTCGAAGGGATACCTCCATATGGCGCGAGTCTGCCACTTCTGCTCCGGAGGTTTTCCATCGACTGTCTGAGTTCAAGCAAAAGCTGCTGCAGCTTGTGTTGCTCGCTGCAGCGATCCTCAATGGAAACCGGCCCACAGCCTTCACACAGAGCGTTGTTAGTAGGTATTGTTTATTAGGTGTTATCCCCTGATAAAAAAATCTTTAATATGTGTCATCGACATGCATGTATAGGTCACTTTATATAATTCATACACAATGAGCAGGACCAAAAACTGCGCAAATACATTCAAAAACGCATTTGCTAGGTAATCAGAGTACACGTAACATTCAATATCAGAGTAGTAATGCTGAGCAGTAATTAGACAGTAGTACACAGACTTAAGCGAGGAAAACTTTCGTTGGTATTTGGTTTGTGGACGAGTCGTGCATGTTCATAGGAATGCTGGTGTTGATGAACACCGGCACAGTGAACGTCGGCGACGTGTTGCACCGCGAAAGCACGTCGCCTTGCTGAGGTAGTAGAGTTTGATGAGTAAAATACGCCTCGGTGATCAGTGGGGCCAGCACCTGATTCGCTTTCTCTGCACTTCGGGCTATATTTCTGTAAAGACACGTATTTTCTTCTAAAAGAAATTTATCTCGCATTTCTCAACCTTGATTCATCCTTTTGTTTCTGTCCAACTTCACTGATACCAAAAAGTTCAGCCACTGATGGAGTGTCAACAATGCTGTGAGCGATTGACAGCAGCGAGGGTATTATCAGCAGAAGGCAAGAAACTCTATAAATACCGTGGTATTAACGTCAATGAAGAAAAGTATGGCAATACTTTTGGCTCGTTCGTTTTAGGGTCAGCATATGTCTGCAATTTGATATTGCAATTCTGAAATTGATAAGCTTGTGGTACTGTCTATGGTCTATGGTCTCCACGTATGTATATATAAAGCACCTTATGCACCTTCGATGCATTTTGATTAGATGCTGTATTTTGATAACACTTCTCGATCAGGAAGAAATGCATAGACGTAATGAACACCTTCAAGATTCGCTTGAAAAGCTAGGCAATCTTCTGAAAAAGGCGTTTTACGACGTTAAACCTTGAGAATCATAGTTTCTAGACCAACAAATGCTTTGAAATCAGTAGAACAACGAGCCATTCTGGAAATACATGAACAAAAGGTATTTAATTTGAATTCGCTATATAGTATACATAATTGTTCTTGCAACTACTAACATGTTATCGAACTTCCTAAGTTCCTACTAGTTTTCGCGCTCTGGTCATTTGCTGCTTAACTGTTCTATCCTCAGTTACTTTCAGCACTTGCAAAGATTTTGCTTTGAAAACGTGAGTGAGGGATAAATGACTGATAAAGTTCGTAGTCTGAAAAACACGCGCAACCAACGGATAGGAGATCGTTTGCACAATAAATGATGCATAGTTTTATAATAGACAGATTGCGGTCTGAATTTGTATTGAGCATTCTCTCACCTAAATGACGCATCTAGAGCTGAACACGTCTCGCTGTAAAAACCGAAAAGGGCTTTCAGCAGTGCATCTCTCGCTTCTCTTAGCTTATCTTTAGACTGCTCTGATAATGCCGCTACGTCACCGTTCAGCAACACCAAAGCCTGTAAGTACAAACTAGTTATGAGCTAATGAACTAATGCTTCCATCTTCACCTTCAGAAAACCAAATTCGGTTTCATCAGCTCCTAGTCTTCGCAGCGGAACAATCAGTTCTTCTTGTATGCGAGAGTGAATTGCAGTAAGTGAGGAAGTAGATGATGGAGTCATGCCGAGGATTTGATCATTTGGAAGTAGGAGGTATGGGAGGTGCACGCTTTTTTGCACTGTATTGAGCAGAGAGAAAGACGGGAAGAACTGTCTGAGTAAGAGCATCTGAAATGGAGCGCTGAGCACTGTTTAGCTACTAACGCATACTTCAAAGATTACCTTGTCACTGAAGGGAATCTCCGGGAGGGGATGAAGCATACTAGCCCATTCGGTGATGTTGATCATCGTTTGCTGACGAGTGTTCTTGCTATCATTGTCGTCACGAAGCAGCTTGTTAATGGTCTGGCTGTTTGCTACCCTCTGCTCGATGAAGACAAGCATTTGCAAGAGACGGCGTGAGGCACTCGTGTCGGTTGCCTTCAATATTAGCATTGTCACTTCTCCTATACTACATGATTATCCTTGAACCAGCAACCTGGGGTAAGAAATGACTTACAGGAGTTGATACATCCTCCGGCTTTGTATTCTCGGCAGAGGGCCGGAGTGGGAGACGCTTCCTATACTTAGCAGCTCCGATTCGGTCCCTTTCATTTTGTATTGCTAAAATCACTTCACTTGAGCTTCATCAGTCCCATGTAGATTGCTCACATACCCTCAGGTCGCATTCCATCGGTTAGGCATTTTTGGAAGCGACAAAATCGACAAGCGTTTCTATGGTCTTTATCGATGTGACAGCTCTTATCAAAACGGCAAGTGTATTGTAGATTTTGGAAGACACTGAAAATATTCGATAATTAAATAGTGCAACTACAAATGGTATTGGGCCTGTGACTACCTTCTTCTGAAGAAGCCTTTACAGCCATTGCAGGCCACAGCACCGTAATGCTTGCCAATGGCTTTGTCTCCGCACACAACGCAGACATCTGAAGTACTTTGGTTGGATGATGGTCTGTATGGATCCATTGAAGTTCTGAAAGGCACTTTTTTGCCTATAAGTTCCATTTTATCAAAATGCGCGACGTATCCATAGCAGATGAACATAAGACCAAGAAATGCAACAAATTTTCCCAGGAAACATTGCTATTTCGAGGGTGTTCAACTCATCGACAAATTTGTGGACATTGGTAAATCACATCACCTTTGGAAATTTTCTTCTGACTTCTAATGTTTATTGCCTTTTGCATGCGCGACACTTTCGCAGTAAACAAACTCAACACTTCAGTCAACATGGAGCGCATCATTATGGAATTGCGGACGCTCAAAATGACGCGACTTATCAATAGTGAGCGTTGAGAATTCTGTGAAAAAACGGGTTGTCGTCAGTGGGTCAAACATTTGCTAGAGTCCTACGTGAGAAATGAGCTATGAGCTGTGCCTCGAGTCTACGCTTGCCGATGAGAGAAGAATCAAAACGAGCGTACATAGACAAAAGTTCAGCTGATAGAAAGCAGATAATAGGCAGGTTGATGCACGTATGCAGGAGTTATCTGGCACGCAATGCGATAAGGCAATCCTGCGGCACACGGGCAACTTATCAAAAAACACTCACTGTTCGCAGACATTTCACAATTCAGCGTAAACACAATGCTATTATGTCCCCGTATGGAAGCAGGAAAATTCGCGCTTATCCGGAGAAACTACAGTCCATCTAGATGCGGTACCGAATGCAGCATGGCGACCTTCAGAGAACAAACAAAAAACGAAACTGAGAAAAAACAATGAACAATGGATCGCTCTCAATATAGAATCGCATAACAGAGTTTATTCGCTTCGTCAGCTACCGAAGATCATCGTCCACGCAGAAACTACGTCATAGCATGTGGTCGGAAACCCGGTTTTTCATGCGAAACACTGGACCGAATGAAGAGACGAAGACAAGAAAATAGCATGGAGGCCAATCTGGTGAGAAGAAAAAGTTGCGCTGGTGGAGCGCACGTTTTTGAGAGACCGATACAGCAAATAAGCGTGAGAATAACCTTTAGTGGTGGATGCTGCGATCACGTCCTGGGTCCAAGTTCAAGAGACGACTGACTGGGAACTAACAAAGAACGAAGTTGTAACAAAAACGATAGACAACTCTTGGTCCACATAAAGTGTGAGTCTACTAAGCACAGTTTTGGTAGAAAGTAGCTTTACTGTACACTGGAGTCTCGAGAGTGTCTATGTTGTCTTCGGATTTTTGAGATCAAAGACTACAACAATTGGCTAGTAGAGAATATCCAGAGACCAAGAGATGATGGTCACCGTTTGAAAACCAGCTTTACTCTGTATGCAGAAAAAAAATTCAAGACTTCTGTGGAAATTATGTCCCTATAACACCCACTGAAAATGCAAAACAAAATCTATAAATAATCCAGAACATCTTTATGGGTGAATTAGACAGAACAAACAAAGAAGGTGCAATCGGCCGATGAGCTACTACTGTAGACAGCACGACCCAGCCTAACCTCAGAATTAATTTGCTTATTCTTGAGTTGCAGAAAGATAACAGCTGTTTTTATTGGTTTGTAGAAATGTTACAGATAGGTATGGCATAATTGGGAAGAGTAAATCAATGAGAATCGGATAATTAAAGGCAGCGGCTCGGCAGATCGGCGAATTTGTATTCACCGTTCCCGATTCCCTTGATGAGCGGAGTCGAAAACTGTGCTTTGCAGCCCTTGAAGATGATAATAACTTGCTTTTCCGGACGTGGAAAGTGCTGTTTAAGCGGGCAAAAGCCCGTCCTCTAAAATTGGCTCGATCCGCTTCTCGCTTAAATAGCAGCTTCTACCTCCAGAAAACCGAGTTATCAATACCGCAAAAGCTGCAAAGTTTCAGAAGTAGCATCCAGGGAGGCAAGAACGATGAATACCCAAAATTGTCAATGTGTCGAGCCACTGCTTTTAACTTTGTTTGTGCAAGAATTATTTTATGATTACGAAATGGTGGAGGAAAGTAAGACAGAGTTTTTCCAATTTTCGAAAAATCTTGTTCCAAAAGATCTGTCCCGACGCAGCAGACTGTTGAGTTTCCACCATTTCATGACCATAGATGCTCAAAAACAAGCGAGGGCTGTCCAAAACTGAACTTCGCGCAGCTTGGTAATTTCGCATTTTCAAATTCATAAACAGCAGGTCACAATCTTCTTAGTGGTTCGCCACGCAGTCACAGGTTGTGTGTAATCAATCACCAAATTACTCACCTGTGCACTATAACCAAAAAACGAAACTTAGAAATCCAAAATAGTGATTTTTTGAATGGTTAGCTATGCAAAGACGAAACTGCTTTCAATACAGAAAATCTCACAAGGGAAGCGTATATAGTCGATGGCCTTTTCAGATGAGACCCACACTGCTTTGAGGAGTATTCCACGATGATTCGAAATCTGCCTTCCAAATCTGCCAAGCGCCTCTGGACACCGAGTTATGACCGTTTTCTGGAACGAAAAATGAAGGCAGAATTTAGGCAAAATCGATTTCTACAACCTTTCAACGCCCAGATAAAGCATTGTTAAGTATTACCATATTGGACAAAATGTATCCATTGCATGAAACGACTGTGATACTTGACACTGGGCCATTTGAGCAAATTTGTGCGATTTTGCTCCAGTATTGCGTTCATTTTTTTGGCCTGAAAAACGCCCATAACTCGGCGTTCAGAGGCGGTTGGCAGATTTGGAAAGCAGATTTGAAATCGTGGCTTAATGCTCTTCAAAGCAATACGGGCTCATCTGAAAAGGCCACTTCGACTAAACAGCTTTCCTTGTCAGTTAACAAACATGATGGCCCGCAGTAAACCCCCATCAGGGCATCTCTCTTGAGGCGGACCAGAGTTGATCTCCCGTGACCGAGCTTTACTACGGCCCGATATAGTAGAGGCAGACTAGCTGTATGAAAACATAACTGCTTTTGACTGCTTTTAGTATTGACAGAGAATCTCAACTAACAGATACGTTATTGTAGTGATTTGAAGCTATCTCTCACCCTAAAATCTAGCAGATAAGTCCTCCCATCAGATAAGTCCGCTTTGTTGACTCAAATAAGGCTCTTCAGATAAGTCTGCCTTCAGATAAGTCCGCTTTCTTTCCATTATAACTACCCTAAAGTCTCACAGAAAATTCCGGACTTATCTGTAGGCGGACTTATCTGATGGGAGGACTTATCTGCAAGATTCTTGGCAGTGCAAGGGTGCATTTGCATCAATTTTTCTTGTCAAAAAAGCGGACTTATCTGTAAGAGTTTAGGGTACTTGTGTTTTCATAAAGCTTCGGAGTTGCATGTCAAAAAAGAGCTTATTCATAAGCCAACTCAATAACTTCTTGCACCACATGTCGTCCATATTCCTTCTAAAGATGAAACTTTACTGATCTAAATTCAGTCAAAGGCTGGGTCTATCACTTTGATAAACTAATAAGTTCGTACGGTCTTTTCTCACAAGCGCACATATAATACACCATCCCGAACAGCTTCTGATAGTTAAAGGATCAAAATTCATCTACAGCATATTGTTATTGATCAAATGATGTAGATATGCTTCTTCGTCGGTAGTTAGTATCTGTTGCCTGCATCAATCTTACCCTCATTCAATCAGCTTAAATCAACATAAACTATTGAATGTGATAAAATAACAATTGCTTTTTCTGCTTATTAAAACAGTAAGAAGAGTTCTGATTATATCATAAAATGCTCTGATTAATCTCGTAGCATGCACTATGAATAAAACAAACTGTGCATGTAAAACCCAAATTTTAAGGGTTGGTAAAAGAGCGAGTATTTGTTTTCACACGATTGGTTGCATAGATGGCTTCCTTTCCAAAGGATATTAGGATTCAATGGTTATCTCAACAGTTATCCGCTATGTAACACCAGAGACTATGGAGTTAGAATTTGATATTGTGAGCATTTTTTCATCTCATCACATTTATACCCCACATGTATAGGGTGATCACTAAAAAATGGGACACCTAGAGAATAAATGTAGATTTCTCAAAGAAAGAAAAATGATTAAACTTCCCAATTTTGATAGATGTTAGAATAGATTATTCTCTTTCAGAAAATACCTATATAAAGTCATTTACATAACTAATAATTTTTATAGTGGCTGAAATGCAAAGTTAGTCACTTTGACAAATTTTAAACTTCGAGCAGTATCTGCGCAGTGAAACATGCGAAACCATCCAAAGTACTACTGCTACAATGCGTGAAGGTACAGTCACCAGACCCACGATGTTTTGCTGGTGTAAATTTTCAAATTCAGGATGGCCATTAGCAGCTTTGAGAACAAAGATACGTGCTATTTTATGCTTTGCAGGTGAACGCATGTTCTATAGGTACCATCTGAAAGAGCTTTTTTTACGCTCTATCCATCCATATGCAGTTTACCTCACATTTTATCTATCTTCGGAAAATACAGATTGAAACTTGATTTACTAGTTTTTGTTGCGTCAAAAAATCGCGATTTTCCAGGTATTTCGCTTTTTTTTACCCAGAAATAGAAAAAAATTCTGTATGTTCAATATGTTGTTTGAAAGAGCATTAAGAGCTCTTTCGAATGGTATATCAACTGCTCTATAACTTTACGGTATGGCAGCGTAAGAAGCGATGTTTAAAAAACCCTGTTCGCGTTCTTCAGGGCGCCACGCCTAGGGTTGTGGGAGAGGAGCGTTGACGCTTTGCCAGAATAATAGGCGAAGGTCGCTTATATAGGCGACGTTTACGTTGCAGCCTGCTTGTTGTTGATCGAAACAAAAAATCTCAAAATTTGACAAAAATCAAGCTGTCCCATTTTTTAGTGATCACCCTAATAATAAACGAGCAATCCTATGCGAAGTAATCAAAGGTTGAACATTGGCACTATGTAATCGAAGTTTGAATCCAAACTGAAGACAATAATCTGAAAATTCAGTTTCTGTGAACCTGGGCATAATTCGTGTAGTAGAAGTGCTTCTGTCCCAAGCAGGCTTGTTAGGCGTCCTTCATTTCCCATCACGGCCTAACGTCTCGACGTCTTTCGTCTTT